TATAAATAAAATTGCACTGACTTGAATTTTTAGTCTTCCTGAACAATATCTGATGTGTATTGTGTAATTTCTTGTCCCACGAGAGTCAAAAAAGACAAAAAGCATTTAACTATGGCTCTTTAGCTCTAAATTTCAAAACACCAAAATGGCACCGACCAAGGACACTGTGATTACATCCATCTTTTATTCCTTCATTCAATTTCTTCATTCAGTTCTTTTCAATTTCCTGGTTTTGTTCAATTAAAACACAAACACTGTACTGTTTATCAAATTAAATCAGCACAATGACAAGATTTCCAAGATATCCATGTAAAAGTCACATTGAGATTAAAAATCTATTTTCCATGACAGACATGGCTCAAAGCTGATGGTACCTTCACAAATGACATATTTCTGCTGCTACTAATACATAAATACATACAAGCATACATTTCCAATTGTAAAAGTATTGCTTAGCCAGCATACATTTGTTTGTAGGCCTTCAAAATAAACAATCAGTGCCAGTGTAAAATCAGTGTTTGGTTTTACACATGAAATCCATCTTTAGGACATTGTGGCGACATTTAAGACCTATTGGAGGATATGAGTGATTTCAGATGTCATCATATCAGTCTGAGCCAATGGTTTCATGCAGGGACTTCCTGTCTGATTTGTGGTAAGTTTGGATCATAATGAGGAAGCTCCGTGAGACGAGCCGTAAACCTTGTCTTTTTTTTTTTTATGAACTGTTAGAGAAGTGAGCAGTTCCTCATGGGAATGATGGGGGATGAAAAAAAAATCAGACTGAGGCTCCGGTTTTATGGGGTTGGTAACAGAAGCTGCTTTTAGTTCAGCGGGATAAATCAATCAAACCATGTTCTCCTGCACTCATCTAACTGATTTCAGAGTTTCTCTTTTATTTTTATTTCTGCAGAAAGAAATTCCTGCCTTACCTTTTGCCCAGCAGATAGGTTTCAAACGAGTTCAAATAGGCCTTAAAATGATAGATCGGATGCAGGTGAGAAGGGAATTAGAAGAAGCAGCTACAAATTTGAAGCATTCATCTGTTCATAAAAGCAAAACACTCATGCATTTGCCTCTCACCTGCAAATTCTTCAGTCTGTTATTGAGACAGCCTGCCTGACTTAATGTTAGATTTCTAACACACTTTCTCTGTGAATCACCTAGTTCATGAACCCAAAGATCCTAAGCAACCAATCAGAACACATGACACACCTTCTGTGGTTCCCTAAAGATGTGCCAACAAGCAACTCCAAGTGTGCATTAGGATTTTATGGCTACCGTAAATGAACACTACAATATAAAACGACACAAAACGTTATTAATGACTTGGTGACTTGTTCATGAAGCTTGTTTAAACAGTTGATGGCAGGAATTATGAGAACCAAACACATTTGAGGCAGATTGTCAGCAAATAGGACAACAAGCAGGACAAAGCCTGGACTTGATTGCATCATCTGATGGGAGGAGATGAAATCAAACATCCCTTCTAGAACAAACCAGAGGCAGCGAGGCCCTTTTGTTGAACTGTGTGAGGTGTCAGCGTAGCTCTGAATGCCATAAATGGGCTGCCCAAAGTGTGACAGCTAAATGAGAAAAGAAATGGGGACACTTCACAAGGCATGATGGCTATTTTGTCCATGTCCCTTAATAAAAAAGTTCGGGCCTGCTCTCTGGTAAGTCTTTAATGCTGCTGAACATGACGTTTGATTACCATGAAAAGAAAATCTTCCTCTAGTACCTGTTCAAACTGACCTGTGAGGGTCACACGGAGATTAGGCACGGTTTCATTAGCACAACTCCAGAGGGAGGAAAGGAGCAGGATGGACAGGTCAGACACCTTTATACAACCTAATGCAGGTCAGACGGAGAGCTCCTTCTCCTCCGGTTACAATTTGTGTCCGAGTCATCAGTGCAACACATGCAAATTTCCAAACCCTCTGAGCAGTGCAGAGACGAGTGGGTTTGTGTTGAACTCATTGTTATGCAGCTCTGCAGGCACAGATCATCTCCCAACCACAGAAAAAGCAGCTCTGCACAGATAAACGCATCCAAATCTCAACTTTAATGTCTGAACATGGAGGATTTCTCCAGGCGGTGACACCCGGCCTCTGATGTTTGCTCGCTCAGTGACTGAGCCGTGACTCAGAGCAACCTCTGACCTCACACTGAGTAGAGCAGGAAGCATTTTTGGAGGACAAAATGTAAAGAAAAAAAAAAAACACTGAAGGAGGGGTAATGGATTTTTGTTTAAAGAAAAAAAGACGAAAGTCATTGGGAGATATAGATCAGCCTATCACAGAGGAGATGCTGAACCAAATTTAGCAGCAAAGCCCCGAGCTCTGCATTATTCAGACACAATGACCCATTAAAACTGTTTCTGTGAGTGAAGAGGAGGGAGACCGACTGACAGAGGAGCACAGATACTAGTATATGCTATTAGATAAATGGCTATAAAGGTAAACACTCCATAGGCACACCTGTAAGACTCTGCGTGCAGCTGATTTATGTGCAGAAAACTGACAGAAAAACCTGTTTATCATAATCCTAGAGAAAGAAATTAATAACCTTTTTACATGCTTAAAGGCTGTAAACAGAAATCTTCAGAAACAGCAATGTGCTGCAGCTCTGCTTGGTTTAACCCTTCATCCCCTGCACTGTTTGGTTTGGACAAAAGGGGGGTCAGAGGGGGAAAGTCTGTGGACGGAGGCTCTGATTCGACCAAGGAGAAGGATTAATGGGAAACAAACAGTGGCGTCTCAGTGGGGGGTCCCCATGAGACAACACAGATTAGACAAATAGAAGGGACAACGAGCCGACAGTGATCAGCCAAAACATCTCCAATAGGAAACAAACAAACGATCACCAGGTTTGAAAAGCTCTGCACAGACAAAAAGGTGGAACCAGTGAGTCACAGCTCAGCCTCATCTCAAATTTTAACAGATATCTGCACATTTTTAGCAGCTCTGAAGCGTCGTACTTAGATTTCCACCTGAAAACATCGAGTAACCAGCCACGGCTCGGCGTGTTCGCTGTGCTTTGTGGCTGAGCAGAGAGGCTGTGATTAAAGGCAGAGAAAAGGTCAAGACTCAAAGTGATGAAGGGACTCACAGAGAAGAGTCTGTCCCTGAACCCTCATCTCTCTGCTTCCTGTTTCTTTCTGTGTGTTCCCCGCGAGCTCGGCTGAAAATAAAAACTGTATTTGTTCCCATCTGAAAAGAATCAACTCGAGTGTTTTCACTGTAAAGAAGCAGCTCAGTGTTTTGAAGGGGAAATCCTCCTGTGCAGTTTCATGTTTGTCAGAAAGCTCCCACACCAGTCACCACCACAGATTTAATGTGCCATTAAAGTTCTCGTATATCAGCTATGAACAATCACCAGCTTGCACGCCACAGGGTTACAGGTTTTTATTACTGCACCAAAAATATGGAAAAAATTAAATAAATCAATAAATAAAATACAATAAACACCATGTTAAAATGGCTCCACCACAAAGCACACACAGCAAACGTCAGATAACATTAAAGTGTTTCAGCATTACAAACAGAGCGTTAGGTCTTATTTCTGAGTGTTTGTTTAAATATACAGACATTTTTCTTCATGTTTTATGCCTGTGATGAACTTTGAACCTTCACGCTACAGTCACACAATCTCGCTGACTTTGACATGGTTGCTCGAAGATGAGGACATGGTCTGCAACCATTTGCAGTCAGCTGGCATCTTCAGAGCAACTCTGGTAAAACAGCAACAACACAAAGTCCATCTGCAATCAGTCTGTAACTAAATGAGGTCAGGTTGGCAATTACATGCAATCTGTTTGTGTCAACTTTGACAAATCATTGGAAACTGCATACACAGAAATTCACACTGACTGCTTATATTCAGAATCCAGCCTGATCAATCTGAAAGAGAAGTTCAGATTCCTACACAAATAATCATGCAGTCACAGCGGGACAACAATTTAACTGAAAAAATGACACAACTAGCCGGCAAACAGCAGAGATGAGACCTCTGTTGCAGACAAATTATGATCATCACTGCAAATTGACTCAGGCTGACCACATCATATTGGCAATCTGTCTGCTTTTATCAATTAGACGGCAGTTATTTGCAAACATTTGCCAATCTGTCTGAGAGTGATTCAATCTGAATCTAGCTGCAGTTGTCTAGAGACCGGTTGGCTCACTTGAGGTGACCTGCACAATCGCCTTGCTATTAGAAGTGGTTGAGGGTGGTGCACACTCAACCTCTGGGCAACCAGTTGGTCAGTGCAGCTACTTTCAATCTGTCACTAGATGCAAAAAACAAAAAATGAATGCAATCACCATGACAGCACAGGTTTTTCCTAGATGCAAGGAGGTAGCCGTCCTGTTTTCACTCTAGCTCTAACATGTGATGTTGACCTTTATAGATAAAACACACTTGACACTTTTAGGTTGAAATAAACTGCTAACGTGAGAGAACAGATGTTTCTCTGCTGGACAGATGTGTTGGGTTGTACAGAGTTTTTGCATAAGTTATGAAATGATTCTAATTTGTTATTATAAAAAGCCACAACACTGAAATGTAAAACTTCTTCTTTTTGTTATCATCTGTTTATTTTTTAGGCTTGAACAGTCAAAATCTGCTCGCCTGGGCAACCTTAAGTACAAAGCTGGAATCAGATAGTCAGCGTCGCTTAGCATAAAGACTGGAAGTGATGGTAAGCAGCTAGCCTGGGATTTCTGGGATTAACCCATCCATCTTTCTGGTTTGGGATTTTCTCTCCCTGGGTGTAACCAGTCTTATTCTGGGGCCATATACAAGCAAGAGAGAGTCATCTTTAGCAGTCTACAATTACGCATGTACAGACAGCTAGCATTTAAGTGCTGTAATACAGGAAGATTCTGAACTAACTGTTTTATATGTCAGTGTTCTATTACAGTAAAAACAAGCATTATACAAATCAGATCTGTTAGAATACAGAGCAAGCACAATTTTAATGAAACCTTTATAATGAGGTTTATATCTAATAAACAGTCAATATTGGCCTGAAGTTGCAAAACAGATCTAAGATAATATCAGGAAGGTTTTTCTCTGATTTCTCTGGAGGTTTCCTTTAAAACTGTGAGTCAAACTGAAGCTAAGAATGTGTGTTTCATGTGTTTGTGTTCAGATCTGACTGATTTATAACTGCACAAACCTCTAATTTGACTTTCCTTTTTATAGAGCAAATGTTCAATCAAATATTCTCAAACTTTATCTTTAAGTCGGTTCTCCTGAACCTAAATCTGTCCTGTTGTATAATAAAAGGCTGTAGCTCCTCGGGGCTCTCTCATTACACGACTTAGAGCCTCTCCTGCCTTTAAAACACAACAACAGTGGCGGACAATCGTACAGCTGACGTAAAGCACCGCTGCATTCGAGTGCAGTCATGTGTTTGGATATCACACACACACTGAGGGATGGATGATAAGCACATCACCCTAATGGGGCCCTGCAGGCAGGCAGGCAGAACGACAGTGGGGGTATTTTTAGCATCGCTAACAGGTGACCCTCCCTCAGCTGAGCCCAATTACAGCAAACGAGGAGAGACGCCACCGTCTGGATGTTTAACCTGTTACTGTCCAACAGTTTTTATTGGATTTTCATCTAAATGGAAACACTTGGAACAGAAAAACTGGCCTTTTTTGCCCCCATCTGCATTTGAGCCGCAATAACTTGAATATGATTTACAGCAGACCAGTGAATAATCTCCACGCATGTTTTCCATCCTGTCGTCCAAAGCTGTGCAAAGTTTCAGACATCAACAGCCAACTTTACATGAGACAGACAGGCATGAGTACAGCCAGCACAAATAATTAAGTCTTCAAACATGGAGGAGATGAAGTGGGAAAAATAAACAAACAATGATAAAGATGTGAGAATCTAAATCATCAGAATAAGCGAGTGTCTCAGGCAGAATATTTACAGCCTTAAATTCAATCAGTGAGACCATCTGCTGAAGATTTACTTCAAACTGAGGAGGAGGAAGCTGCACAATTTAACGCCCTTTCTCCAAATCCAGCGTAAGCTTTCAGGACAGACAGAAGGAACAAATCTTGACACAGAAGAAAATAACTTTACACACTTTTCAGACAGATGGAGGTCAGGAAAATGTGGGGACATGGTAACAATGGCCCTGTAAATAAGAATAATACAAGCCGAGCACACGATGTGCAGCGGCAGGTAAGTGCTTTAAGGTCTGTCATGAATCTTAGTGCTGCAAATTTAGTGATGTCATCATATAAACTTTACGCTAATGTCACCATAATCCAGAGAAAAGCAGCTTCCGTTTAACTGTGATACTGAAAAGCAAACTGAAACACTGTGAAGGCTATAAAACCTCCACAGTAAAAAAAAACAAGGGAATCCCCTGTGTACGCATTCAAACAGCTCGGCTAAATCCAGCCGAACTACCCACAATTCCTGCAGGGGGAATCATCGGCTGTAACGACACTGAAGTTTTCATAACCCCAAAACTGAACCATTTATTCTTCATAAAGACATTAAAAATGACTCAAAACAAGATGAAATTGCATCTTCAAAGCCAGATTAATCAGCTGCAACACGAGCTTCCCTCGTAATTTATCTTGTTTATCTTTGCAGAGGCTTCAAATCAGAGCAGGCCAGCTACAGGGAGGTCTGGACTCAGCTGGACTGGCAGCTCATTTGAACTGGTATTTATCTTCCTAATGCATGTTAATCCATCTCTGACAGTAGGATGCAGACCACGGCACGTCTCTGACATTTTCTCCCGAGTCGATATCCCCCCCCTCCACTCCCCGCCTCCCTGAGATGCTTCCTCTGCAGACCGATCAATAAGAGTATCCTCTGGGCTTAATGACCATGAGGACCTGCTCGGGGATCCTGGTTAACTTGTTTATCTTAAAACACAGCGCGAATCGGTGCGGGATAAATATTTGTGTTTGTTCCAGCATTTCAGTGTCAACCGCCTATTTATACCTGGCTTCATTTAAAGATAAAGTGGATATAGCACAGATGACGACAATGGTCCCTGTTTTTGGAAATCAGGTCAGCAAAAGTGAGAGGAAATAATTTTAAATGACTTATTGCAGCTTACATGTTGCACATTTGGTGAAACTGGCCTAGGGCTGTGCGATATGACCAAAATCTCATATCCCGATATA